TCTCCTCCTGTCCTACACCAGGCCCGTCCCTGGCCATTTTCAGTGTGATTTCCTGGACTCCTCACCCTGGAGAGAGCGAGGAGGAGGAAGCGTGTGTGTTGAAGAGCACACACTTGGGAATCAGTCCAACCCCAGCTTCATCACTGGCTTCATAAATAACTTTAGACGAGATAGAAACGTCTCCACATCCTCACCGGTAACTGGGGGAAGGGAGATAACGCCCAGAAAAGCGCTTAGTGGTGTGGGCAGGGCTTACTAGGAGCTTAAACGTTCTTTGCTCTTGTTAATAGTCTCAGTGCACAGATGAGGACACAGGCCTGGAGAAGCTATCAACCGTGCACACAGTTGGCAAGGCGGGAAACTAGGATTCGAACTGATGTCTGATGGCAAAATGAACCTTCTCAGCCCCTAAGCTAAACCACCCTCTAACACAGCTATTGTTTTATCCACTGGCATAATTACTCCTCTAGAAACCTTCGCTTTAAGGAGGATCAAGAGACAGAGCAACCCTTCCACGGAGGAGCTGCACTGCATTTGTTTCTTTAAATAACCATCAGGTGACGCCTTGAGAGCTGAGATGGCGAATATCCTTTAGGCTAAGAAAGGATCTTCCGTGGCTTAAGAAAGGCCCCTGTCCTTGCCTCCTCAACGGTTCTTTTCAAAACTAAGTGTCCTCGGGGGCTGCCTGCTAAGGGCCCAGAGTGGAGCTTAAGTCACTGCCTTGGCTTCTCTTCACCTCCCCCTTGGTCTTGAGCGCCCAGTCTCACCTTCCGCTCACTATGCGGAGAATTTCTTCCCTTTCTGGCTGCATCTCGCACCTGTCAACCCAAGGTGACGAACAGGAGGCCACGGCCAGGCCTCAGCAGCAGCCTGTGTCTCTAAGTTCCCCAGCGATGGGTTGCCTAAATGTCAGATTTAGAATTCTCTCCGGTTTTTAGTCACATATCTTCTCCGTACACCCCCCTTCCCTCCTCCCCCAACATCTACAGATGTCTGTGGCAAATCAAAACAAAACCCGATCCCTACAAAGCGTGTTTTTCCTCGACTAGATAAATACTTGTGTTTTTCCTCCCGAGCTGAGGGCTAGGTCAAGAATTCTTCTCTTTGATTCATATAGGAAGGAGGGAGATTTCGTTTAACAGGTCTGTACATGTTTAGTTTTGTGGGGAGATGAGGATTTAACTTAGCAATGCCTCCAGAGCGAAGATTTCTACTATCTTTTGGGCTAATAAATTAAGGATCTTATATGGCTTAAGAAAGATAACAGTTACAGTGTCTCTTCCATTTATTTGGTGCATGAAAAGCTATTCCATTAAAAGCTAAAAAAAACTTCCAGCTGCAAAAAGCCTTCGAGGATAGGAGGAGGTCAGCGGCCTGAAGCTTTAGAACAGCCAGTGCGGTTTGGGGAGGACAATGAAACAGCCGGATGAGCCTGTCCTTTGCAGGGCGGGTGGGGGGGAGGCTTAGGCTCTGACTTGGCGGAGCGGATTCGTTTAGGAAAAGAAGGCTCCCTTGGTCTCAAGCCCCATTTCCAAATCTCTCTTGGGAGATGAAGGCTCTTCTGTGTGCCTTTCACAATCAGACAGCCGGTCACAGCCCCTCCTCTCCAGGGCTTTGAAATCCTCCCCTATTCACTGGGTCACAAGGAGACAGCCCCGGGGCAGGAGGGACTGCCATTGCTTCCTGGGGTCCCAGCTGGCGGGGTTCCACTGGGCGGAAGGCTCCCGGCAGTAGCAGGGCTGCCCTTGGATTCGCAAGTGCCCACCGCCTGGCGCAACCACGGCCCACGTAGTCTCCCTGTCCCTAGAGAGCCTCTTGCTACATTCGTTGCATCATTGATGCCTTAAAAAAAATCCAAGTGGCCTTTTTATCCCCCGGCAACGATTGGAAAGAGCAAATACTCAAGACCAGCCTTTGTAACTAGAACTGATCACACTGCTTTCATTTCACTCTGCAGTTGTGTCTCTGCGCAATGAGAGGCGCATCTGGGGTGTCTGTGAGGAGCTCTGCTCGGACTGCTAGTGCGCCGTTTGCTAGGAAAGAGCTCAGCAAGATCCCTTTGGCCAGAAGAGCCCTGGCAGGACAGGCTAGTCAACGCAACCGGAATCAGCCTTCGGTACTTGCTTAGTCCCCACAACACTGGTAGCCTCTGGACACAGGGAGACTTTACATGGCTATGAGTTTAACTTTTTGATTTAAAAAACGGCAACAACAAAACCCCCAAACAGACAGAAACCCCGCATGCTTAGCTCATTTGCACAAAGAGTTAATAAACAGCCACTGAACGACTCGGCCTGTCCGGCTGGCAGCTGCAGCCAGCGCCCGGTTCATATGAGGGAGACACATGGGTTTGACTGGGGCGTGCCCCTGCTCACCTTCCCCACCTGGATGGTGGCCATGCAGCTGTCCCCATAAGTGACCCCGCCCTACTAACCTGGGCATCGGCCTTGCGCGTGGGCCGCAGGGACCGGGGAAGTGCACCTGTGTGTGCAGAGTTCCCCTTCGCCCGCTGAAGGCGGCGGGGACAATGCCTGTGTGTCTGCGCCCTGACGGGCAGGACAGATGGACAGAT